AGGTGTGTGGTATATCTGTGCACATGGGCATGGGGTGTGTACCTGTATGTGCCCCTTGGTCCACATGTCCCAACTGTCCAGGCACCATGGAGAAGCCCCACAGAGATAGTGTAAAGGGGTCCCCATGGAGTAGCAGCCTGCAATGGCCCATGTGCTGTTCTGGCCTGGCCACATGCCCTGCAGGGAGGAGCATGGCCCAGTGTCCTGACGCCTCTCTTGGTGTGCCCCCAGTGGCATGACCCTAGCCACTCACAGATGTTTACAGCGGGGTCACACACAGAAAGCAGAAGCCGTCACGGCCATGGCTGTGTACCCAGCAGCCTTGCTGGCTGGATCACAAAGTGGCATTGTCCCTATTACGTGTGGCTTGCGGTGACGTGAAGCCACTTGAATGGAACTGTATGAATGGGACAGCAGTTATGCAAGGAGCCTCTCCTGTCATGGCACAGACACCCCTACCCTGTCCTCCCCGTCCACTCTTCCAAACACTGCACTCTGTACTAATGACACTGAATGTCGGACTGAATTTTTATATGGACCTTGTTTTGTTTTGTTTTCTTATTACAGAAGTCATAGCTGCCCCCAAAAGCAAAATAAAAACCAGCCTTAATTCCGCAATCAAGTGCTCCATGAGTAACTGGCTCCTGCCGTGCCAGGGTCCTGCCCACTCGCCCTTGCTTGCTCTTACAGTCTGACTTTTTGTGATGCAGACATCCCTGCAGTCACATGCCCCACAGCCCAAAAGGACCCTCCTGCAGCCATTTGCAGGGCGAGTGCACTGTGCCATGGAGCCGATCCCCGGGGTGGGGCAACGTGTTCCTCTGTGTTTCATCCAGCCTGGAAGTAATTGGCCTTTATCCCGCCCAGCACATCCTAATGAACCGTTTTTACTCTGTGGCTTTGTGTGTCTGTTCCTTAGTTTTGTCCTGTTACTCCTAATTATGCTCCACAAATAACCCTAAAAATTCCAGGCCTCCTTTGTGTGCATACTTAGGCAACGTGCAGCTTTGTTCCAATTGTTCCTCAAAAGGTGCGGAGAGCTTTTCTTGAGCCTTTGTAGTCTTGGTCTTTCTTTTAGCAGAATTGGAGAATGACAGGTCTTTTCTCTCGGAGTGATCCTGTTCTCTGTAATTTTCCCCCATCAGATGCAGAGTTGAGAAATGAGACATTTGCATTATTGTGTGTATGGATGAATTTCTGCCCCCAGAATCCTATTCAACTTATTTTGCAAATTGTGCTATAAAGCAGCCTAAAATACTTAAAGGGCACTGCAGAAGCCTCCCAGGGCTCGGCTCAGCATGCAGCAGAGGCAGGCGGTCATGCAGAAAGTGATGACTGTGGCACCCAACATGCACGCACCTCTGTTTGTTTAATTCTCATGCCTGTGCCCTGAGGATTTGTGTGGAAGGTGTATGGCTTCCCAGTTCAAGCCACCCTGTGCTTTGGTGTGAGGCCTCTGCTCCGGTCCTGGAGGTGGGGCGGGGGGGGGGGTGCTCAATGGCTCTGGTTCCACACACCCTGGATGCTGGCCCTGGAGGCTGCACCAGGCCATCAGAGATTGGCCTCTCCTGTGTTCCTGGTGGAGAGTTTGACCCCTGGGTCAGGTCTGCTTTGTCTTGCCTTGCTTGGCAGACGATATGCTCTGAGGATGTTTTGCACAGTGTGGCCCAGGCTTCCTGTGTTTGTTTGGTAACAGAGCATTTACATGGGGGCACTGTTGGAAAGCTTGCTCTCATCTTCTCAAAGCCCCAGTCACTCTGAGTGCCTGGGAATGAAGAGGGCATCTCCTTGGTGAGTGGTTGGGTGTAACACCGGGTGTGCTATGGTCTTGGGACCTGCACAGGTCTGACCTGGTGGTGACAGTGTCTGGAAGGAGAACATCTAAAGTCATGATTCCCATCTGGCAGTGGGAAGCTATGAGGGGCTTGAGACCTGGCTGGGCAGTGTGGGGAAGGGGCAGGTCTCCCAGGATCCATGCACATCAACTACTTCATAAAACTAAATCATCAAGCTAGGGGCCTTTCCAACATCCCTGCTGTGAGTGGCAGAGCTGGGGTTCAGAAGGGATGATGTGGTCAGAGAGTCCTCCCTGACTGCCTTGTGCATGTCCTGGATCTGTCCTGGGCCTGACCTTTCCCAACAGTGGATTTCATTGTCTGTTAGGGGTGAATTTTTAAGATGCCAGTGGCTATGGTGACTACCTGCATGCCCCCTTCCGTATTGTACTCTGTCCTCTCTGGGAGCGTGACATGATTTGCATCTGTTTTCCTCCCAACACATGAGAGAGGCCACACAGTCAACAGGCCAGAGCCAGATACTGCAGGTCAAGTGGGCCTCTTCAAGGTCCAGGTTCCAGGCAGCAAGATACAGACTGAAGAGCACAACCCTCGCCATCTGGAACTGTTGTTTTCACTCAGATTGGCCTCTCCCCTGTCACCGAGAAGCAGGCACTGGGATGCGCAGAAAGCACAGATGAGATTAGCTCCCCTGCAGTGACCCCTCTGTGAGCCGAGTGTGTAGGGAGCAGGAGAAGGGCCCCACTCCCACACCCATCCTTGAGCTGAGCTGTCCACCTGGCCCACTGTAGGAGCTGCCAAGTTCTGCTGTGGAGCCTCAAGCCTGTGAGGATCTCAAGGGAAAACACGGCTGGCAGGAGCCTGGTTGTGCCCACACCCAAGTGTTTGGCAGTGATTGGCAGCTGAGTTTGCCTCTCACATCAGCTGCTGCTGGAGTCAGTGTGGACTCATGACCGGAGCCCTCTGAGGCTACTGTCGCACTCTGCTTCGCTTGGTACCATCTTTCCACAGGTGAAGAGACAGACAGAGAGGGTGGGCAGCTTGCCCAGGTCACGCAGCCAGCACTGCCAATGCCAAGGGTGCAGAGGCAGGCATGAGGCTCCAGGCTGCTTGTCATCATGGATGACCTAGGCACTCAGTCTCGGGCAGCTGTGTGAAGATGCCGTCCTCCCAGAGGCCATGGTGTGTGACCATCTTGTCTGCCATTCAAGGCTGCTGAGCCTGTAGAGTGGAAAGCAGGACCTGAGGGATCCATCAGCACAGCCCCAACCCTACTTTCCTCGGTCTGTCACGCCAGGACTAAGACCTGGCACAGTCAGTCTAGGACTTGCCCTTCAGCAGCTGTGCCTGAACCCGCAGGGGCAGGGTCCCCTCCTCAGAGTCCTCAGCTGGGAGGCTGCACAGCACTGTGTGGGGCTCCCTGCTCCTATGGGTGCTTTCCTGGGGGCTCCCCTCAGCTTTCCCTTTCCCTTTTAAAATCAATAAAAACTCAATGGTTGGTGGCTAAATTATGCTATGCACAGGGACAATTCTGTCCAAATGAAGCCCCTTGTCTGCACAGCCAATGTGTGCTCTAAAAATCATGCAGAACATAAAGGCTGCTGGAGAAACCAGTCAGTCCTCACAGAGCAGTGCCAGCTGTCCCCACCAGGGGTCCAGGGCCACTTGATGCTGTGTCACCCACGTGACCACAGTCCCATGCAAGGCAGGGGTAAGAACCCAACCCCAGAAGTCCCAGCACTTGCATCCCGATGCTTTCTAGATGGCTTTGAGCTTGTCCAGCCCAAAAAGTTTCATCCTGCTTCATCTTCATTCTGTTGGTTTTCGTTGCACTGATCCCACACGGGGTCACTGGCCAAAGTCCGGAGTTCCTATTGTGACAGGCACAGTGGCAAGCATATTAAAGTGAGCTTCCTGTCTTCATAGCTATACTGATACCTATCTCCAAGGTGAAAAGGTGGAGACCCTAGGCCAGAGCTTCCTCCCCACATGGTCTCACAGTGCTGGGCTGTGTTGTGATCACAGGTGGACACGCCTACAGCCCCACTGCTCCCACTTTCACCCAAACTTTTCACCTCCTCCCTCAGCCTGCTTCCAGGAAGACTCCTTCAGCCTCCTCATGTGGGCAGTGGCTGGCTCTGTACCTCAGCTGGACTTGCTGGTTTAGGTGCAGTGCATGCACCCACAGAGGTGGGGCAGCCCCATGTCCCCATGTCCCCATATCCTGACCCTCTCTGGTCACTCCACGGTGCAGGTGGGAAGCAGGTGAGACTGCATTCCCCCAGGCTGGGTATGGGCATTGCTTCCCTTCCACAATTTTCTGATGGCCTTTCTTTTGTTTTGCATTTGGGCATTAGCACTAGAATAGAGGTTTTTAAAATAGATTCCTTGTTGAAAGGTTCTTATAGCCCAACAAGCACTGGAAAATCCACGGCAGGGAACAAGCAGAGATGCAACCATGGCTTGCTGTTTTCTCTCGGTTCCCTTTGTCCTCACAGCAGCCCTTTCTTTTAAGGTCACTGTCCTTGTCTCCTCAGCACCTGTAATGATCTTCACCACTGGTGCCAGGGCTGGGCTGGGGTAGGGCAGTGCCTTTTATGGCCCCAGGGCTGAAGACTGGCCTGTCTCACCATGGTGAGCTGAGCCTGCTCTCTGTGGTGGGTCATCCTGCAACCTTCCAGTGTTGCTTCCTTGGCCAGAGGGGCAGCAGCTGCCAGCCAGACACCAAGGACATGGTCAGGGGCAGCTGGTGTGGTGCTGCCAGGCCCTGGGCCCCCGAAAGGCTGCCCTCAGTTGGAGAGCAAGGTTCTGTGTTCCCCCATATGGGAACCTCCTCACTCCATGGCTGCTGATCTCCTGAGCAGGAGGGTCATGAACTCAGTCTGCCCACCCCATGCAGGAGGCTGAGGCCCTTGTGAGTCTGCAAGTGTGTGCACAAGTGTGTTCCACACCTGTGTGTGTGCACATGCACACAGACATTTGTGCTCAGAGCCAGCCAGCCCTGTGAGTCTGCCTCATCCCTGTGTGAGTTTGGGAACACCAGTGACATGGTGCCCGGGAACTGCTATGTCAAGATGACCCCAGGCCATTCAGTGACCTTTGGTCTGTGTGAACTGTGTGGTTCTTAGTGGGGTGCAGAGGGCCCAGGTCTTAGCACCAGAACCCTGAGGCCACCTGCCCTTGATGCCTCTCACTGTCTTGCAGGAGCTGTGCCGCCAGCGCATGGCCGTGCGCCCACCCGATCGGCCTGAGGGCCCACACACCTCCCGAATCAGCAGCGTCTCCTCCCAGTTCAGTGATGGCCCCATGCCCAGCCCCTCAGCACGTAGCAGCACCTCATCCTGGTCTGAGGAGCCTGTGCAGTCCAACATGGACATCTCCACCGGCCACATGATCCTGGTAAGGCCATACTTGTGGCAGGCAGAACAACCCTGTCACAAACTGATTCCTGTCCTCTGCTGTCCTGCTTCCCTGGGCAACGACATCCCTCTCGAGATCCTGCAGCCACTGTCCCCACCGCTGCCCTTGCGTTCCAGGCAAAGGCGTTTATGCCTGGTGCACATGGGCTATGTCAGGTGTTTGCCACAGGCTCACTCTCAACAGTGGGGCAGACATTGAAGAGCGCCCACTGCGTGCACCGCTCCTGTGATCCCTAGCAGAGGAGTAGCGGTCGCCTCCTTCACCCTCAGTCCCCAGGCCACTGACACCACTGGGTAAATAAGTGCCCCCACCATGCATTGTCATTAAGGTGAGCCAGGGGGAGCCTCTTGCATGGAGACACAGCCCACTCCAGCTGTCCATAGTGACCACACGCAGGATGGCAGCGCAGTGGTGTTTGCTGCTAACGAATGCGCAGGTTTGCTTTAGAGACGCTCACAGTTCTGCCCTTCCTCACGTGCTCTCTCCCGATCTCACACCACCCGCGCTTTCCCTTGTAGGCACCATGAAAGCAGAGTGCCAAGCTGGTGCGGTGACTTTCTCACTGGAGTTGTACTCTCTGTAGGCAAAGCCGAGCTCACTTTCTCTCCCAGCTGCAGCAGCTGCTGTGTTTGGGGTGTGGAAGTGCTCACAGCTGTAAAATGAGGCCAGGGCCACCTGGAGGTGTTGGCACGCAGCACAGGCTTTGGAGAACTGTCCTCACTGAATTACCTAACAATAATTTGGACTGCTGAAATTGGACCTGGAAAAGCCAGAAAAGTGCGTGTTTTAACTAAAACTTGAGACAGAGCCTGGAGGTGAAACCTAGAGGCTGCCAGTGAGCCCAGGCTTTACTGGTCAAGTAGTCCCTGGATGTTCAAGTCTGGAGTTGTGTGGATGGGACAGTCAAGGAAACAGGCACATCACGGCTGGCTTCAAGATAATACAAGACAAAGCGAAGGAGAAGTCTGACTTCCTGGTCAGTGAGCAGACAATGGCCTGTCCTTAGCCTGTGGCCATCACCCCTCCATCAGACCCTGCAGTGGCTCCCGTAACTGGTGGAGACACTGAATCCAGGCGTTGAAAACAGCTCCTTGTCCATGTATCAAACCAGCACCACACTCCTGCTCTGTGCCTGAGGTGGCTGCTGTCAACAGAACTGCTTCTCTTCAGGAATAGTGATCACATCACTTGGGTGGGACTTTCAGAGATTTCAGGGTTTGTTACTTTCAAGAGAAAAGCTAGAAACTGGGACCCGGCGGGAATTGGCACTGCGGCTGAACCCGCCAGCAAGCCCTTGCTGCCAGTGCTGTGGGGTTCCTCAAATCTCAGGCACCAAGCAGGACCTGGTGATATCTTGGGAGCACAGGGAGCATGAGAATCCCATGTGTTTTGCAGGAGAATAGCTTTGATGGTGGTATGTGTGATGGTGAATCTGAGCACAGCACATGGTTAATGTTCAACTGTAATACCTAAGCCATGAGGGTGACCTTGTCTCATCTGACCTAAAATAAGGTCCTCTGGGAGCTCGGTTAGTGCTACAAGACCCTGTCACAAGCATCTGTTCAACTTCAGCATCGACCCATGAGCTCCATCAGCCCTGGGGACTCTGTACGTGGAGCTTGTAAACTCAAGGAGGCCAAGGCTTCCATGCCACCAGTGCTGTGTGTGAAAGGGAAACAATCAGGTGCATTTCCCCAACTGCAAGACACAGGCTGACATGGAGAAAGGCAAGGAATATGGTCACACTGCAGCCCAGGAGAGCTGGGTAGTACCTGGGATCCTTATCCTTTCGAGAAAGAAGTCCTGGCTTTCCCCCAGCTTCACTTCCACCAGACTCGGGCCGCATGTGCTGTCATCTGGGCACTTCCTGCATGGAGAACCCTCATCTGCACGTCTCCTAAACTTAGCTCATTCCCTCAGCAGGCAAGGCAACCTGGCTCACTCTTTAGCTCTGGGGTGCCCAGCCATTCTCAGGGTGGGGTTGAGAGCTACCAGAAGTGGTACCCATGTGACCCACAGGGAAAACCTGCCTGTAACGTACTGGAGAAACTGACATTGGGGCTCACTAAAGCTACAAGAAGAATTCCATCACCAAGAATTCCATGAAGGTCATTTGGCCTGGCCCTTGGTAAGGATGGCTCACTTTTGTCAGACAGCACACAGGCTGGTTGTCCCTGCTGTATGGCATGGGCTCAGGGCTGTCAGGTAGATTATACAGAGTCCAGGTGAGAGTTCTAGATACTTGGCTACACTCAGCACTCCACTGGAGCAGTTGCAGTATGTGGCATTTTAATGCAGATCTGAAGAATAAGGAGCAGGGTTATTTATATTCAGTGTGGCGCAGGGAGAAGGTGCACCCCAGTACTAGGAGGAGTGCCAAGTCTTTAGGAGCACTGTTCTCCAGCCCCCCAGGAGTGCTGGGCTGAGTCCTTCCTGGGACACTGGGCCCTCCAGGCTGGTCGGGCCTCAGCCCACGGGAAGACTTCTGCTCTGTGGATGGCCATGTTCTGCCGCATGCTGACTTCTGTACTGGAAATCATGCAAACAACTCAGGGTGCACGTCCTCCCAAAGACAGTGGTGCTGAAGGAGCTAGGGTGGGGGGCTGCTTGTGGAGGAGGCAGGATCTCATTGGTGACACAACGAAACCAACCACACAGACTGTGGAGCTGCTGGGGACCCAGCTCTCCAGGACAAGGCACATCCCTGGCACATCAAGCACCTGTCCCCCTAGTCAAGGCATCTCTGTGGTGGAACTGGCCACACAGAATGAGGGCTGGGGAGGTACAGGGCGCGTGGACGTTCATGGGCAGGGCCAGCAGGCTGTGAGTGGACAGGGTGGCATGTAATTAGCGTGCTCCCCAGCCTGGGTGCTGTATGCTCACATACAGGAACTGGACCAGGTTCCAGGATCCAACGAGCTAGCGGTGCAGCATCCCTGGGCAGATCTGCTGCTCGATCCTGTGAACCTGGCCAGACAGGTGGGGGCTCCAGTTGCTCCCCATGGAACCCTTAGCTCAGGGCTGGGTCCTATAAGCTGCACCCATTCTGATTCTGACCTTGATTCTGGTTTTTGTCACATTTGTTTTCCTTTGCTCAGACAGTGCTTTTTAAATATATGATGTTTGATTCTCCTGGATTCGTTGTACATGTCAGTGAAGCTCAGTGTAATGTCCCAACACGTGTTGAGTTTGCACTGATCAAATCTGCTTCCCTCGGCCCCAGCCTCCAGGATTTGCTGTTCTGCATTTGGGGCAAAATGGAACCAGCCTAGGTGTCCCCAAGCAGATGAGAGAATAAGGAAAGCCCGTATGTGTGCATGGATGTATACGCGTGTGCGCGTGTGTGTTTACACGGTGCAGTGTTAGTCACGAGGAAGACTGACCCCTGTTGTTGCTGTGGAGGGATGGAGAACACCATGTGGAGTGAAATGAGCCGGGGACAGATGTCCGCACACTCAGTGCTCCTTCTCGCCGGTGAAAGCATCTTTTAAAAAGCCCAGCTGTCCTGTGTGGAACTCAGGAGAGGGGCGTTATCTACAGGAAACCATCACTGCAGTGTCACCAGCCTGCCAATAGGAGGGTCTGGCACCTAGTGCCATCTTACAGAAGGCATTTGCAGTGGGTGGGGCCCCAGGGGAGGGCAACCAGGGCAGACCCTCGCACCAGGACACTGGCTCCTGTCTGGGGCTGTTTCAAGGCAGTGCAGTGCTGGTTCCTTGATCCAGTCCGGCGCTCTGGGAAGCAAGTGATTCAATAATGTCAACTTTCAAACTGCTATAAAATCTGTCACCGGGTTGTAAAGAAGCAAGGGATATACCTTCCTAAGATATTCTGGCATCTTTTGTAAGGGGTGTATTGTTTAAGAGTCCTATTCCTGTATCACATGTGCTCTTAGGGCATGAAGCTTCTGTACATTGGGCTCCATGTGAGGGTGACAGGAACTATGACTGTCCTGATTTCTAATTGCATGTTAGTCATCAGCATGTCGCATGCGTGTCCCTCACAGCCAGCATTAGCAGGAAGCTCCTGGGGAAAGAAATGTGGAAGGCAAGCTGGGCTGGAGATGGTGCATGCCTGTACTTGGGAGGCTGAGGCAGGAGGATCACAAGCTTGACTTGGGCTACTCAGTGAGACCCTGTCTCAAAATTATAAAAAAGGGTTGGGATGCAGCATGTGGAAGCCCCAGATTCAACCCCCAGCACCACTAGTTAGAAAAACAAAGTTTGTTTAAAAACCTCCACTAGACTTACAGAACTGAATTCAGAAAAATGGCACTGAATGAACTTTTCAGGAAGACGTCTGCCTCAGTGTCGAGTGGGTGGTCTTTACTTGCCTTCACTCCCAGCATGTGGCATGGTGATGTCACAGAGAAGATGCTGTCCCCAGAAGCCACACCACAGAAGCTGTGCCCAGACACCCGCAGGACACGGGGCAGAGGTGTAAACCCCAAAGAAATGAGAAGTTCCACCATTGTAGCCTAAGGAGTCCATGTCATAGATGACACAAGGCAGTAGGTGACCTGGTAACCAGTGTGGGGCTCTCGTGGCACTGAGCTTCACCACGGAGAACCTCATGACAGGTACAGGGGATGTGTGCGACGCATCCACATGGAGACAGAGCCCAGGGCAGTTACATGCCCCTCCCGAGCATCAAGTCTCCCGAAAGCCCAGTTCTTCGTCCCCAATCCTGCAGCACCCACTGGCTGTGCATGGCAGCACCTGCTTGTCTCTCACAAGAAGGTGTCTGGAAACTTTCAGACCCCTTGTGAAGCAGGAGGAGCCACTGGCCCTGGGCCTTAGCAGGCTCCCACCTCAGTCTTCCTCTGTCCAAGCAGCCCTGGGGTGGCCTGTCCCCATCACTGGTGGGTTGTGGATGCAGTGCTGGTGGGATCATCTCTGCAGCAAGGCTGCTTTGGCAACTGCTCACGCTCTCTCCACTGCTCTCAGCTGGGCTGAGATATCTTCCTCCCTCGCCTTCCT